ATACATGTGCGTGGCCAACAAGTCTGAATTTGTATGGAATATTTTTCAACACAGTATTGATGATAAACGTTGACAAACCTAAAAAAATATCAAAAACCCATTCCTAGAAGGGGTGGAAACTATTGGCTTTATGTCATTTTATTAAGTGCAGTTTAGGCGCTTAAAAACTGAAAATTAGACCGAAGGTAGTCTTAAAGCGTGGAGCTATAATTTGGTGTACGATTTTCTTAAATCTTCGTGTAGTCAAACTTTTTTTTATTAAGGACAGACAAAATGTAAAATTTCACTATGACTATTAGTAAGTTTTCGAGTTGCTGTATTTGCATTATAATACAGTCGATTGTGATAGATGGATAACCACGGCAACAATGTATTTTAGACAGACGAGATCAACCCTTATCGTATCCATCATAATATTAAAATTACAATTTTTAAGCACATTATTGCCATCACAATGTTTTTATCGATTGTGATAATTCCCGTAGACCCGTGACGTCATCCGTCTTAATATGCTCCTTTCTCTTCATTGCCTTGACCTTACCGTACTGGTTTTTTTTTTATAGCATGGACAAGTTTTACCACTGGGGGTCATTCCAAAATTGGCGTAGTATTTTTTCGCGTCATAGGCTCAATTAGCTAGTTGTTATTAGTTTAAAACTTATAAAAATTACATTTTTAATGCTCCTTCCCCAGCCCCCAGACTCTCCGATTCCTATACCCCCCTTCACTCAATATTTTGGCTTTGTTGTTTCAGAATTGTTTTTGACATTAACTCGGTTGTGTACGATTTCGAAGACCGATATAATAATTTATCATATCAACGATTATCCCCGACATAAAAGGGACGGGCTTTAAGCTGGAAATATGATGGGACGGGGAAAAATACTTATTATGTGTACCAAAGTTAGTGTTGGTCCGTTTGAGAATTCAAGGCGAGCAGACCATTAGAGTATTAAAAGATGTGAAACAAACAAAGCTTAGGGCTTTATGCGCCCTCGAAAACCCGCTGGTTATATCTGGTAATAGATGCAAATCTTTTTAGAAAAACCGTTTTTTTTTTTTAAATTATGATTATTTTTTTGGTTTTAAGAAATAATGTAGTCCATATATTATTATAATAATATCATCTGACTACTCTTTGGTCGCCGACTTTGCTATTGCTTAAAAAATAAGTAACGGTTATTACAAATCTGCCAAAACGTCAACATACTTCATAGCAACAATACTTATTGTATTATATTATATAGTGTAATACAATAATAACAATGTAATTACACCCAATAGGGTATTCTCAAGTATGTAAGATGATAACATTTTATTGTCTAAATAGTGGTGGGTGATAGGTATATTATTGCTGTACGACTTAATTAAACTTCATTTCTTTTTCTTTTTAAGTATAATAAATAAAAGGCAACAATTAAATGTACTCCTAGTCAATGATGAAGTCAAGTTAAAACATACACGACATACATTTAAATAATATTAAAACTTTTATACTCAACATAATACAAGGAAATAATATTGATGTATTTTTTTCTGGATGAATAATTGTGTGGTCGATGCGCAAAATTCCAACCATATTCAGATAAAATAAATTATGATAATGCCATAAAGACTAATCGAATTTCACTGCGTTGCTGTGCTCTAATTTGGTATGTTTTGCAGCTCATCCAACTAATTTTATCCGATACACCAATCTATATTGCTATACAGTAGTTTGCAAATAACCGTAAAAACAACATTAACAGTAAAATGCCATCAAATTAGGTACCATAACATTATAGTAGCCAGATTTTAATTTCGTCAATTCCAATAAAGCTTAAAGTTTACTCAACTTATATTTTCACTGATATTTTACCTGATGCAAAAGGTCAAGACAATATTGGTTACTAAAAGTTATGGTCAAATTGTGTACAAATTAATTGTAAATAATTCCAAGCGTGTACCAAACCAGGACAGTTCTTATTTTATTATCTAGTGATTAAAAACAATAATTTGCAAATAACAAATGATTAAATTTGCAAGTAACAAATAATAATGGTTTGCAAAATAGGACTTATTTAAATTGCATATTTATACAGTGTATCAAATAATACATTATTTTAATACATTTTTATTTTAAAAGTACGTAGGTACATATTATTTCATTATAATGTATATTAAGCATGTTAAGTAGGAAAATAAATGTTTACTGAATTTGAAAATTTAAATCATTAACTTTTTTAATTTAATTTGTACTTAAATGAAAAGTTGATAAATATAATTTATTTTGTATTTTTAATTCGTTCATACAAAAACAAAAATGCAATTAGTGTATTTTGTATTTCTATTGAAATACGTTTTTATGTTAAATTATTATTTGATTTTGTAACTGAATGATTTTTTTTTTTTAATTAATATTTAATGCCCAAGTTTGGTATGTAGGTGTATTTAAAGCGAGTACACGGGGAAGTAATAAAATAAAAATTTAATGAACAACTCAATTAAACACTCGTTTTCCAAATGTAAAATAATATAAAAGATCCATAAATTGTGATCGAAATGGGGTGAGTATGAGACTTTGTATTCAAATATTGATTAAGTATTAACTGCTTATATGATATTTAACGGCTATCATCATTTTGATGAAAATTAGCCAAAAACGACTTAAACGTTGTTAAATCTTTATTTCTGGATCCGTGTCTGTGTTCAGACTAACTACACTATACTGGAAAAAAAATAAAAATCACAAAAAAAAATTATCAAATTCGATGACAATGGCATTGCACGTACTCGGGTTGTACGTGCGAATTGACTTATGTTTCTACTTAAATAGCAATTTACACCGGAAAAAAAAACAAGTCGAGACAAGCCAAAATCTTAACCTGTGTCAAATACTATGTACTAGTCGAAGAAAGAGTAGTGCCCGATGGATACATAACTTCATTACTGCTCTTTGGCGACCGTTTTGACATTATTGAATTGCCGTTCTCGTGGTTGTGGAAAATTAACATTATTCGCGACCATTGTATTATCATTGTCTATTGTAGAATAGTGAGCGAATGAGTGCCATATCCTAAATGAATCGCCCTAGAACACTCTTCGAGAAAATTTGAAAACATTGTTTTGTTGACAAACTAATCTAAACTAATCTGAGCATAACTTAAACCAAATTAAAATACAACCCAACCAAAACTAATCTAACATATTTCAATATTTCACATTCGTCATCGCAGGAAGTTAAAGTACACTTTAAGCGGTTTTTTTTTAATTTTCACTCAAAAGAGATAGAGGTACTTAAGTTATTATTATTCTACTAATAGGCTATAGCAACACAGAGGCGGACTGGATAGCATCAGACTCACTATTTAATGAAACAACAGGCGCCAACAATTTTTTTATTAAAATATTATATTACATATATCATCATATTATTATTACATAATTAAGTAAATGTAATTAAGATACAGCTGAAAAACTTCAGCGAGTTGTAATAATAAACAGACGAGGATGATTAAAAATGTTTAATATCCAAATTGTTTATATTTATTTATTTTGTTTAAATTACAAAATGTTCTTGATTCAAAAATAATCCTAAGATGGACTTAACCAATTCCGTAGCCAGAGGCGCACCAGAAACCTCCTTCAGAAATATGTATATAGTTTTTTTTAAATATAATAATATATTATGTCGGTGGCCAAGTAAACTATTGACGGATGTTAAACACATAGTATCCCTTAAGACTTAATAATTAGTGCCCCTAAAATACATTTCTGGCCACGGTATTATATGATTGAACTTGCTGAATATGCGTTGGGTACCTATCGTCTTCAAAGCGTTAAAAATTCTTCACTCCAATTGTAACAAAGAGTGGCCTTTTAATTATTTAAGACAGCCCAATTACAACGTTATGCTAGCCCGCCTCTTTGCGAGCCAAAGGGGTAGGTACAAGTAAAAGGGGGTTTGATCATGCATTATTCGACAATGAGAACTCCTTCCACCTGTGTGAAATTTAATTAATCATTTTTTAAACAGATGTCGAAGAAAATATATGAACATGGGCCATAAGAATACGTTGAAACATTTAAATCAGTGCGTTCTAATGGGAAATCTTGTAAAACTTACTTATACCCTTTTGTTTCTCATCACTTCGAAAGTGAATGCAATTTTTTTTTTATAAGAAATAACTAAAGCAATTTTTGAGGAAAATAAATAGTTTTTCAAACTGAAATTATTTAATTAAGGGAATTAAAAGCAGTGTTTTCTAGACGTCTTAAACCACAAAGCCTGCCAACTACTTAGGATAGTTCGATTTCGTTTCTATAAAGGTATACCGTTTTATTGGCTACTTTACTACGTTATGTTGGAAACGAATTTTTATGTTATGATTTTTTTATGTAAAAAAAATTCGTTTTAATGTCTAAACATTTTTTTAATTTAATTTATTTAATTACAAAAAAAAGGTGAATTTTTTAAACGAAAAACGGTTTCCAACATAATCCACAAAAAAGAGGCTAAAAATGTCTTATCTTTTTATAAAATTGAAATCGGATCAGCCACGCAATTTTGTTACAGGGAAAGCGGTTTTTTACCGCCAAAATGGCTTTTGCTTGTAGAAAAAAGCTGTGTACGTTAAAAATAATACCTCATAAGGGTTATGTAAAAATTAAGCTGAAAATTAATTGCAATGGTCGGAATTTATTAAAACCACATTTTTTCTTAAATATTACAATAAAGATGCTTGTAATGAAAAAAATAGCAATTTTTTTGAAAAATTTACTCCGTTAACTGTTGACCTAAGCCACGGTGACGCAAACAAATCTACCCTGACCTAACTCAATTGATAAAAACTAACCTTGTCGAACCGAACGCGCTTTGTTAGTATTAAATAGTAACGGGTTTTGCTAAGAACCAATCACCACGTGTTGATTTCTCGACCGTTTTTTTCGGGATAACATACCTATTACCACGGGCGGTGAAAATTCTATCTAAATTTATATTATATTTTTAGACTACTTACCAGTTACCAGGCACAAATTCAAGAGGACTCCGATTTGGTTGATGGCGAGCACGGTGAACAGGATTTTGCACAGCCATCCGGCGAAGCGCGAGACGGACGGCTTGCGTTTGAGAGTTTTGGAAGGCATTTTTTTTTTTGGTAAATTTTTGATACCGGGCCGGTATAAGACCGGTCGACGGACCGATTTGTAATGGGAGGGGGGAAAAATTCAAACGGTAGGTTTTCGATATAGTTCTTGTGGTTTTTTTTTTAAATTTTTTTTTTTTTTTTTTAATGTTTATACGCCGGTATTTAAACCGAATACGGTAGGGAAACGGTTAGGTTATGACGACTCGGGTCGCGTGCTCGGAGCGCTTTTGAACCGGACGACAAAGGGACGGCAGACGGAAACAACAGCGGACAAGCCACTGGCTGGAAGTTAAACGGCCGGCGGATGTGGTAGTCGAGGGCGCGCGCCAAGGGAGACTGTAGCGCCACCGCGGGGGGAGGAGCTTTTGCCGCAAAGGCCGCCGTCAAACGAGCAGAGCCATCTCGCGATTTCCTCTGGTCGGGCAACGCACAGTGGGGCAAGAGGCCTCCGGAAATTGACACAAAAAATATAACATAACAAAATGCGCAACTACTTGTAGACTAGAAAAAATGATTATTTATTTGAACTATTCGTTAGGGATGCTATTTAGTAAGTATAAAATGTAGAAACATATGGCGAGATGTATGCGTATGCTAAGAAAACCCTTGACCGCGATTCTATTATCGTTACCCCAATGGTCATTAAAAATGTCAACCGCTTCCCAATTATCTTCCTAGTTAAGGAAGGTAATTGGGAAATTGTCAACTTTTTCTTTGAATATTTTAATTTTCTTCTCTCTAAATTTCTTTTATAGTTATTTTAGGTACATGAACGTCAAGAATCGACAGTTTCCGATTTCGGAGGCTATAAGACTGAATGCAACGAAAGTATAGGTATAATGTAAAACGTTGCCAGTGGTGATCTTTAGCCCTGCCACCTGACGTATCATTCCAAAAAATTTCTGAAAATTAGTATAATATGCATGTATTTTCAGTAGCGTACTTTGAATAAAATGTTGGGGGGTGTATGTATTTATTCTTTTTTTTAACAAAAAACTTAATTTAATTTAATTTAAAACTCAAGACGTCTTTTTAGTTCCAAATTTGTGTGGAATATATTTTAGATATAGTACTACCGATAAACGTTGACAGCCTAAACAAATATCATAAACCCTTTCCTCTAAAAAGGGTAAACTTTATTATTTGTTTCGGTTTTTAGGTAAAATTTTAGAGATTAAGGTCTAAAAATTAGTTGTTCAAAATTAAGAGTTTATTTGTAAGTGATCTTATCACTTTCAGTTGTAATAATTAATATAGAAATGTGACATCCCCGCTTAAATATGCTCCGTCTCCACTATACCCCTACCTCATTGTACTGGCTTTTTCAATATAACAACAGAATAGTATTATTTTTTTGCACTTTTGTTTATAATAACAAAATTCGGTTATTATCATTGGGTTTTTACTTCAGCCCGTGTGCGAACGTTACACACTATACTTTATTTTTGGCCTTTGTATTATTATTTGTTTAGGTACACAAAAACAAACTCCACCAATTGTGTCGTTATTTTGGCTCAATTGTATATTCAATTTTGGTTGTCATATATAGACAACAACATTTCATTTTTTACATGCATTTCTTTAGCTACGTTTGTACGGGTATTTTTCAAATCTTGCAAAATTAATTTAACCCACTTGCCGATGTTGTAAAGGGCTGAAACTTGGCAAAGACACTCACCTTAAATGACAATACAATACCCTGCAATCATATTGGGACTCGGACATCCAGGTCACCCTACAAAGGGTCAAATGTGGGGGTCATTTCACTAAAATTTCATGTTTTTTTTTTCAAATCTTCCAAAACTAATTTAGTAATCTATACAGCAGTTATTAAATACCTTTAATAGGACTAAAAAGTAAAAAAAATAAATAAAAAACTTTTTAAAAACATACTTTTCTAAAAAAAAAAAAAATAGTAAAAAGTGAACTAAAAAGTAAAAAATAATTACAAGAACAATTTACCAATCAATTGTAGCATATTTTATTTAAATTGTCAATTACTTTGAAAACAACCGAAAATTAACTACAATTTTAAATAATGTTAGACATCTTTAATTTTTTACTAAAAAGAAAAGCGTGGGCCCTATTCAACTAAGTCCCTAATACATTTATCAGATAATGTTTTATATTGTAAGTTCTCTTGCAATTTAAATTTTATTTTAATATTTGTATGTGACACATACATTTCATAATACTTAACTCAATGAATTTAGACTTCGGTGCAATAAAGACAACCAAGTTATTGTGACAAAATCATAATATATACGGTTATCATACTTTAAGTATTAATTAATTGCCGTAAAATCGTTTGGCATAAATTAAGTTAAAAAATGTTTTAAATATTATGTTTATTTTAATGAAATAATAATAATATTATTATTATTTCATTTATTATATTATAACCTTGCATTTTAAAATCATAAGCAGTATTTTGTTTTTATTTGATATTTTTGCAATAGGTACCTAAACAATAATATAAAGCCTTATTAGGCTGTTATGAATAACGAACAATTCAATCCATATTATACCAGTCCATAATTATTGTATTCTACTTATCATGATCAAATTATATTCTCAACAAATAAGTTTACTTTATTTAGATAAAATGTTTTTAATTATGATAAAAATACTTTATTATTATATTTTTGTTATATTATCTTAGGTTGACAATTAATGTTTTTTCCCCCTGTTATTTGTATTTGAATAATTTTTTTGTATGTCAGTATTATGATAATAAAATGTTCACATACAATGGACTGCATTTTAGTTTTTCTCGATGCATAAATGAAAAGTAACAATAGAAATTTTAACAAGACGTGTTCTTATAATATTATAATAGAATTAATATGTGGATCATGTATTTTACTATTGGGGGTAAGTGTTTTCATTTTACACTTGTTATTATTTTATAATTACTAAAAACATAAGTGTGACATTATTATCATAAACATAGTTTAAATGGTAGTTTTTGATGATGTTACAACTGTTATAAATTATAAACATCTACTATACGACGAGGCCAATAGTAATGAAAATGGTTTGATGAAATTTCAAACTGCTATCCTGAAAAACATCATTAATGCACTATACACATCTATGAATATAATAAGCCTCGAAATAAAATTTATCAACTAACAACAAGGTAAAAACAATTTACAATTTATATTAAACCGGTGAAATAAAGGCAAACAAAGCTATTGTGACTACATTTTAAATAATAATGTTACATACATTTATCATACTTTATGGAAATTCACTATCATACAATTGAACATGGCATAGTGAGCTTTAATTTTTGCTTTCTGACATCGCAGCTGTTGGCCTTACTGATCAGATCAACCTGTGCCTTGTGCTTGAGTAAGTTCCGGCAGCGGACGTCGCTTAGCGGATGCGTGGACATCCACCATAAAAACTCGTCGACCACTGATTCGTCCCGAGAGAATTTAGCCAACACGTCGTTCGCCTCATTGTGGTCCAAACCAACGGCCGCCATTAGCTTCTGGCCGTAAATGTCAGCTTCCAGTTCTTTGCTCCTCGAAAGAGGCAGTTCGAAAGCTAACGAGTACACCGTCGAGCACATCAGTTCCACGAACATCTCGTTGAAGTCGGACGTGCAAGCGTAGGCCACGGTCAACGGCAACAGTTTGGTTACATTTGCGCATCGTTGCTGACTGATCATCTCCGTTTGGTGCCGGAGAATGCAATGAGCCATTTCGTGGCCCACGACGAAAGACAGCTGGCCCACGCTCTTCGTCATGTCCGACAACAGGCCACGGAAGAAGAACATCGAGCCGTCCGGCAACGTGCATGCGTTCTCGTCGGGCTCGTCCACGACGAACACCTTCCAAGGGATGTGGCTGGTCACGGTGGGATTGGCCTTGACGATTAAACTCACTATTGTGTTTATGATTTCAACAAGTTTTTCGTCTTTGGGAGAAACCAACGGGCCGAATTCCCTGAGCATGATTTTGGTTACACCGTCGTTCACTTCCCTTAGATCGCGGTCGGAGCAAAGGCTAAAGATGGCGCAACCCGTGTAAGGGTCCACCACGGTGTGGCGCTTGTAGAAATCCACGCTAGCAGCCAAAGCGGCCATTGCCGCAATGCCCAACAACGGTACCGACTTCTTCAATGTCTTCGTGTGTCGTGCCCGTTCGTTGTTTGTCAACCCTTGCCACCAATACCGGAACCCTCTCCCCACCAATTTGGCCGTCTGGTTTATCGCTATCGGCACTAGTAGGAAGTCTCGGAACATGAAGGCCGGCAAATTGAAGTGCTTCAAACAGAAGTCGTCGGACGCTAAGACAGCCGTCACGCCCGTTGCCGAGGCCACTATGGCTATGCCACCGTACCGCACTATGGGCCATTTGGCAAACAGCACAGGACATGCTTCGGCAATCAACCGAAACGCAGTCCACAGCAACGAGCCAGACCCTGTACAGTTGACCCTATGCAACAGCGTGCCCCGCAATTTAGTTAATTTAATTTTCGGTTGCCAACTTAAACTTATGTATACTTGAATGCCAACTCAACAAGCGACTTACCCGTTTATCTCAAATTGAATGTTTGCCATTAAACCGGAACAAAACGCCATGGTCAAATCCTCCGGTAGAATTTGTGTTATTTTGTCAGCGATGAATGTTTGTCAAAAAAAACCTAGTTATTTTTTCCCCACCACGGAAAAACATTGAGCCATGGATATGTTTTAGCATTACGGGTCCGTATAACCATAACGATTTCTAGTATCTAAGGTGGCTGGTAAACATATTAAGTTTCTGGCTAATATTTTAGTGTTTAATATCTGGGTTAAAACAATTCATAATTTTTGTGGTTAAGGGTTTATTTAAATATTTTATAATTTTATAAAAAAAATCAGCTGATTTATATGATAAGATAAGAGAGATAAGTGATAAGGGAAAGCGATAAGATTGTAGGTTGTTCATATGTATAGGACATCTTTATGTCCAATACATATAAAATCCTATAAATATATATAAAATTTGTAACGAATTCCAATAGCCATAAAAGGCAACAAAATAATTATTATTGATTCTATAATAGTATTGCAAAAAATACAAATCTAACGATACCAAGCTAAAAATATTAATAAAGTTATGATTATAATGTAATTTATTGTAATTATGCAGACATATTTTCAATCAAAACTACCTTCGTAATGTATAATAAAATGACAAAAATCGAAAAAGTTGTGAAGAATTTTACCAACCAATTTAACAACATCAAGTTTATGTCAAAAAAACTTCACTCGATGAAAGTTACGCAAAATTAGATTGACCTTCATTAACAAAAGGTAAGGTAGTTAATACTTATCTGTATATATAAAAATGAATGTCTGTTTGTTTGTCCTTTATGCATTAGTAAACCATTTATCCGATCGCCATATAACTTTGGAAAGTTGTTGAGTCCACTCCCGCGAACCTAACTGGCATAGTACTTTTCGAAGGATGACTTTTAAGGATGACCTCAAACATGAACTTTGTACTTTAAATACGAAATGTAAATTAATTAAATGTTTGTAACCATGATAACCCAAAATAAACACTTGGTTTGTAACCATGGTAACCACGGTACTCGAGCAAATGGTAGGTGATGATTAAAAGAACAGGGCGATTATATGTACCACGATACTGGGCAAGCTTTTAACTGTTGAAACGGGATCTGAGACCGGGACTGGGACCATTGAGTAAGAGGAGGACATAATAACCTAAAAAAGTATCATAAAAACGCTGTCACGCTGTTATCTGATAAGAGATAGAGGATAAGAGATTAGAGATGAGGGATGGGGACGAAGGTGGAGATGGATAGGGAAATGAGTATTATTTTACTCAGCCCTGGAAGACTAAATCTCGGGCAGCGCCGGGTCCGGACTGCTTGTTAAAAATAAAAATATCATTTTAATTTAATTTAAATCAATGCGTTATACATTAGTCGTAAACATAAAAATATTATAACCGTATACATTTTACAATAGTGTAACAAATAAACATAAAAACAAAAACATTTTATCAGTAAACATAGTACAAGTGATTTCAATACCTTAATAACAAATTAACAAAAACTGGAGGTAAAATATTTGACAAGAAATCAAAAAATGTTTTACCGTGGCCTCGTTTTTTGTCAACAATATTTTAAAATGAACGTTAAGTTAAAAAAAAAATGTTACGTGTTACGTTGTTAATTATTAAAACCGTAAAATTTATTCAAAGTTGACATAGTTTAAATATTATCCGATGTTTATATATTATATAAATGTTTACAAAAATAACAATACTAATTTTGTTAGCCTGTCAAGTGATTTGGCACGGAATTGCCTTGGATAAATAGGTATAGTTATTGACCTGCATTAAATAATTGTACATACCCAATGGTTTACTTAAACCGTTTCATTGATCGTGTTCTTTCAAGTATAAATTATTTGCCAAGTTTCAAATACGGTTGACCGGATAAAGTACTAAGTGCAAATTTTTCCTTAAACATTTAACACTGACTGGTTTAATTATTGTTTGTTTTGGCAACTTTTACACAAACAACGTTGTTGATGTGTTTGTTTCCAGAACTTTCGGCCGTAGGTACAACTTTTTGGTCTATTTGTTGTCTAAAACTTTTAATCGTCCAACGTTTTTCGTGCGTTCGATCCAGTAAATTTTGCACGATAAACTTCTATCGAAAATATTAATTAATCCAAAATACCGTTAATGGGTTATCCGAGTAGATATTTATCTTTTACCTTGAATATTTTACAATTCACGCCGTTAAAAACGGTAAGTATTCATTTTTTCACCGAAAAAATATCAACACTAATCCACATATCATAATGTTTTGAATGTATTTTAGTCCAACGCAACCTGATAACTATTTCTTTGTGTTATTATATTTTAAAAACTTTTACGTCGAAAATTGTGTTTAAAGTGTTATATTTGTTATAAAGTGTTGAAACGAATATCTACGTCGAACTTTAAATAAATAATAAAAAAATACATAGTAAATATAGTACATATAAGGAAAAGTGTACCTATAGAAAATGTAATAAATAATAGTGGGGAAAAAAGAAGTAAATATGGATTTTCTGCTTTTATAACTTTTATAGTAAGTCCGGGTTGGTTGTTCTGAAGACATTGAAGGGCAAAATCAAATCTATAGATCAGATAAATTGTTTTTGTCTAATAAATCATCACATAATTCTTTAATTTGTCAATATGTCATCCCAGTAAGCAAAAATCGATCGAACATGTTAAGAGGGGTACTATTCTTACAAAACCTAAGACCTCGTCCAGTTTTAACTGGCCACAATTTTATAAAAAATCAATTTTGATTAAAATGCGGTTTACTCGAAGTCTCTAAAATACTGTTCTCAAACCATTTGGTTTTATTTTATAATAATCATTCATTGAAACTACGAGTCTGTTCTACAAACTTGGTGACAAGGAGCTAATTTTTTTTTTTAAATAAAATGTTAAATTTATACCTATATTTTTTCTAATTGCCCTAATTGTAAATAATCTACTAAACAAATTAATCATTTGGATAAATATTTCTCAATTAAGAAATAAAAAACGACTAAAATAAAGTACCTAACCAAAATTTGTATAAAATAAAACTAAACTATGTTTTTCTAAACACTTGAAGAAAATATTATAGCACAAGTATGAATTGGACATTTAATGAAAATTGAAAAAAAAAATTTTTTATATTTAAAATCATTTAATTTTTTTCCTAACAATATTATATCAACTTTTAAAGATTTCGACAAAAAGACATTATTAAAATAATTTAAAAAATACAGTTATTATGAGTTACATGTTTTTGTTTTTTTTTTGACAGGTCTAGTATAGTTGAGTGGATAGTTTGTTTTTTTAAGTTTTTATAGAAAGTGGAATAACTGACGATAAAGGTACCCTGGTTATTAATATAAACAAATTCAAAAGTTTAGATACATAATATGTTTAAAGTGTACGGTGTCGGTTACTCAGAGACTCTAGAGTAAAAAAACATGAATGAAATGTCTAGATGTTAATCGGTATACATTAAGTAAGATGAGAAGAAATAGTGATGAGCAAGTGAAAATATAATACGTTAAGACAATTTTGTAGGTTTTAGGTACTTCAATTAATAGTAATAGGTACTGAGTACATAATAACTATAGATACTTGTTTAAAAATAATAATAAATATAATTATAGTAGTAGACAACTGATGAAAATTAATCATTTGGTATAAGTTAAGGTTTTTAATAAGTATTTGTTACTTTTTTTAGGCGAAGCGGATACTTATATAAAAATGCTCTATTTCTTCTATAAATATTATGTTGTATTTTAATATATAAAGCACACAAAATAACTACAGTAATATTCAATTTAAAATATATTGTTTTAATCTCATCTGGATTTTTGTTCTGTCCATCAAATATTATAATGTTATATGAATTCATTTTAAATAATTTGTATATGGCGTATTGACCGGGAGTGGCTATGGCTAACTTTATGCCAGTTCGGTCGCCGGAAAAATAATTTGTCAATTAAGTATACATTTTTTCAACACAGATTACCAGTTTTTATCATAAAATAATTAACCTTAGTAATTCTAATCTAATTTTGAAAAATAGCAGTTTAAACAAGAATATAGTTTTATAATTAATTTTTCAACTACAAAAAATATCATAAAAAACACCAAGAATATACCAATAAATAATCATTTATGTTTAGGGTGGATTAATATTGTGCGCACAGTATCTAACAATAACTTGGTTTGATATAATAAACCACAATTTAAGCAGTGATAGTCTTAAAGACATAAGTGATTTTTACACATTTTAATGTAAAGCAAAGATAAAAATTATAATTTTAATGGAAATAGGAACGCAATTATTGCTATAAAAAAGTAAATATTAATATTTAAAATTACATTTTTTATTTCCAGTTGAACGGGTTTAATCCTTGATAGTTGTCTAAATTAGTTTGTAACATTAACAATGTGTTTTGCATATAATTTGGAATTCTTCACATTTTTCGGCTGACATCAAAATCAACAGACGCTGAAACAAAAAACATTTTAAATTATTAAAATATATGTACACACA